GCCTCTGGACTATTTTGAAAATTTTAGATTTCTCAAATTGAAATTTCAAATGTTTTGTTTATAAACTACTCCTAAATGTCATTTGGAACAATATTTTCTTATAAAATTTTTTCATATTTTTTATAAAAATGCCACTTTTCCTCGTTTGAAATTTTTTTTTTTGGTTTTCAGTCATGCAGAATCTAATGCCGAAAATCGATTTGAAGTAAGGATGAGCATAAAAAAATTTTCCATATGGTGCAGACTTTTCCGCGGGCACTGTAGAGTTATTGATAATTTTCAATCTTGTAGTGGGGATTGGGATCTTCTACGTTCTATATAGTATTTCTTTTATTAAACCGAGTATTAAACTATCTTTTGAGTATCTAAATTGCCAAGAAAACGGATGTGCAGGATATCGATTTAGAAATATATTCAGTAAAAGTGATTACAAAATTTGAAATGTGACAACTTGACAAAATACACACTGACATCACTGACATTAACATTAAGAAACCTGTATCAAGAATAACTGGTAAAAACAGGTAATAAAGGTAGTTTTGTTACATTACTCCCCCTTTACTCCATGAAGCATACCGTAAAAGAAGTAACAAAAAAAAATGAAAAAAAAAAAAAAATAATAAAAATAAATAAATAAATAAATAAAAATATAGCAGGGATAATGGTCCTCAAACACTATCACTTAAATCATCTTCATCTTCAAATTCATCATCTTCAATTATAACTTTACGGGGTCTACCACGTTTTCTCAATGGTCTAATAGGTGTCGGATCAACTTTATCGTCGGATTTAAATTTGGTCAATGCTGACACATGATATTTTCCGAGTACTTTTTGTGAATCATCTAGTACTTTTTGTGAATCATCTAGTGAATCTCATAAGTAGTTGGGGATACTATTTTAATAATTTGATATGGGCCATCTCTTTTTGAAGCAAATTTAGTTGAAAAAAAATATTTAGCATAGGGCAGTGACTATCAACAAGAACTTTTTCACCACACTGGAATATAGGTGCTTCTGTTCTGTTCTTGTCAGCATATTTCTTAGATTTATCTTGTTGAATTTCATGTACATCTCTGGCTTGACGAAGAATGGTAGGTAAAGATCACAGGTAAGGAGTAATTTCACACACAAAAATGTCATTTTCCACAATGCTTCTAAGATCTCTATTTACATCATCAGGGGTTCTGAACTCTCTTCCAAAAGTGATGTAAGCAGCAGAATAACCTATGGCTTGGGAATACATTGTGTTCATAAGAAAACGGACTGCTGGAAGTTTTTCTTTCCAATTTGTATGGTCATTACCAACAAGTATGGAAAACTGAGGCTATAGAGCTGGATTTTTCCGTTTTGTAGGGTTAGCTTCTGGGTGGTATATGGGAATTAAAATTTGGTCAAATCCTAGGCAATATGCAACTTGTTGCATTATTGCACTTACAAACTGGGAACCATTATCACTTATAACAAACACTTCTTGGAACGCCATATCTAAATATAACTTCATCTATTAGGCAACGAGCACAATTTTCAGCGGACGCTGCCGTCAGTGGAATGAGTTCTATCCATCTGTAGTATCTTCTACTATGAAATTCCATTTGCAATATTCGTGCGTTAGAGATAGTTCCAAAACGCTGTCCTTGAATAGGAGTCTGTATTTTTCCTGCAGGTTCAAGATTTGTAGCTTTATAACGTTGGCAGTATACACATTCACTGACATAATCAGATATGATTCTCCTCATTCAAGGTCAAAAGAAACGACGCAATTCTTTGATAAGCACGTTCTACACTATAATGGCCAGCTAATGGAGAATCGTGGTAAAGATTTCAGGAACTTGGGATTTCGGTACTACTTGTTAAGCTTCATCTTCATCTAATTCAGGAACATAACGGTATAGTACGCCACAGTTCATGATGTAGCCTCTCTGAGTCCATCTTTTATTTGGTCAGCTTGCTGAAGAAAAGGGCTGAACGTTAAAAGCGATTTCAGATTTTCAAAAGCCTTGACTTGATTTGAGCCCCAGATCCATTTGACTTTGTTTTAAGTGAGAAAAGTAAGAGGTTTTGGAATTTTTGCGGAGTTTTTTTTTAAAACGTCGAAACCAGGAACAAGTTTGTAGAAAAGAAAAGGTAGTTCTATGACATTTCGAGGATTTGGTATTTTAGAAATAGGAGAAACTTTATCTGGGTTTGGAGCAATACCAAAAGAATGACCGAGGTAACTGACAGGAGAACAAGAAAATTTGCATTTCGAACGGTTCAATTGAAGTTTGAATAATTTTATGCGATCAAAAACTTTTTGTAAATCAGTAACATGAAGTTCAAATGAGTTTGATAAAATAATTATATCATCGAGGTACGCTAATATGTTAATATCTTGAAGTCCAGGACGAAATTTATCAATTATTAGTCTTTGAAATGTGATATTTAAAAGTTCCCCAAGGACAATTGAAACCAGTTTTGTTTCGATCAGATGGTTTGACTGATGCTTGATGATAACCAGATCTTAAATCCAAAGTTGCCATAAAACAACCTGCAATACAAGGCAAGGGGTATCTGTCGGCTATTGTTTTCGCATGTAACTTGCGGTAATCAACAGTCAACCTGATGCCACTATTTTTTTTTGGAACGAGAACCACAGGAACAGCAGACTCGCATTCTTCTATTGTTCCATCGGCATAGAATGTTCTGCAAAAGGAGTAGGCTGTCTACCAGATTTAAAAGCATGTGAATTAATTCGAAGTAATTTTTGAAGAATAGCCTCTTGTTCAGGGGAAAGGTTACGTCCTTCATCAGGTCTTAAAAAAAATTCTTTTAAGATTTTGGTCACATCGGAGGTTTATAAATTATTGATACCGACATTATCAGAAATAAAGGAATATTTAATGTCAGGAGAATCACCATGAAACCAGGAATCGTTGGGCATATCCAACACTATATTGACTAGTTTCAAAAAATCTGTACCAAGAAGTGTTCTGCTGTTATGATGTTCTGGAATAGAAATGAGACAAATATGATGAATTCTATCCTGAAGCATTATTTCAACATCAAAGAAGTAGTCTTCAACTTGAGTACTTTCACCATCAGCAAGAGTCACTTCCAGTTCTTTCTTTATATAAGGTATATCATCTTCAAGAAGAATTTTACTCAATCTAGCACCATCAATACTTGATTGTGCACCAGAATCAAGATAAGTTAAGCCATGGTGACCTTGTATAGTAACATAAGTTAAGGGTCGAGTGCAAAAATTGGGTAAAAATAAATTATCTGCTGTTATAGCATAAAATTTTGAGTAAAAGGCACAAGTCTCGGTAGTCGGTAGTCGGTAGTCTTCGAACAGTTAGAACAAAAATTAGAAGTATTTGCGATACTTAGATTTTGCTTAGAATTCCTATTCAAGATTTTTGCATTGGAATTAAGGTAGTCCGATAGAAGATTCTCGATTTTTGAGTTTCAGACTGAGCATTTTTGTAACCTAACTTTCTCCAATTTTCTTTGACATGACCAAAATTTTTGCAATATACACACTGAACTTTAGAATTATGCGATAATTCTATTAGCCGAATCTCCTTCTGAATATGATAGCAGAGCTCTACCTACATTTACTAACAAAAATATCAGTATTTTCATCAGCTTGTGGACTGGAAAAAAGTTCTCTATAAATCTGATGCCGAGGTTTGAAATATCCAAAAGCATGATGCAAAGTATCAATAGCTTCATCAAATGTATCTATTGAAGATTTTATGCCTTGCCAGCATGTAGCAACGGAATTAATTAAAAGCATGAATAGTCCTTCTATTGCGTGAGCATTTTCAATCTTCAATGTTTAAGCAGTCTTTGTTAACATTAGTATTAAAAAACCTGTACCAAGAACGACTGGGAAAAACAGGTAATAAAGGTAGTTTTTGTTACAATCTTGATATTTTTCCTCAAGCAGGGAACAATAATTTCGATGCGCATACTCACCTTAAAATAACAAAGCTTACAAATCTTGCTACTAGCTTTGATATGATATTAATACATTTTGGTGGTGGCTAGGAAATAATTTAACTGCCATGAAAATTAAGTCAATATCAAAAGATTTAACGGTATTTTAACAAATTGAGCTGTCTATCTAGGTATATGTAAAAAAAACAAGATATTTAGAGTAAGTAGAGGTAAGTTTATTTTTGTTGGGGTTAGTGTTTTTTCCAAGTGTGCTTTTTAAATTAACCATTCTCTATTCTAGTTGAGAATATAATGGAAATGGAGCCTTTCCGCAAAATGAGCTAGCATTAGCATTTTTGTCGCCTTTTAGAGCTTTGTTCTCGGGATAATTGAGTCAATTTAATGGAAGCACAATCTAAATTAGGCTATGTGCTTTAATTAGAAAAGCATTGTTTTCTAGCTCGTTTTCAGCAGCCACTTTAGGATGCATTGCCGAAAATTTAACAGGTTAAAAAAAAATAGAATTATGGCAATAAATAAAATTTCCTAGGTTTTGAAACATCAATATTTTCTGTTTTTTTTTTCTCTGTACATTTTAGGAAGAAAAATTATATAGGTAGGTAACTAATAAAAAACTGCATTTATAAAAACTTGTGTAATCTTGGATCGTTACCATTAGCCCCCTTATACTAGATATACATAAGATTATTATGGTAATATAATACAATGTAGTCATGTAAAAGCTTAGTCATGTTATGTAGCTGGCGGACCATTATACTAACTAGACATAGCAATTCAGCATAGTGCACTGCTATGCAGGCATGCATTGTCTGCAAGAAGAACTCAACCCTGATGGGGAGCATAAATCAATTTGCAAGCTGCAGAAAATAGATTTTGAACGCAGGAACAAGTCAAGTTTAGCTTCTTGAGTGTTGATAATGGACCGACATTATTTATTATGTTTGGTTTGCACTAAAAAAACAGTGGAGCATAATTGTAACAATTTAAAGTAAAGTGTATTAAAAAGTTGTCGGTTGTCGTGCTCATGGACGATTCGGTTGCGACCTTAACATTAAGCACGCATACATTTTACAAAGTGTCCGGTCCTTTCGAAATTATTTCCACCCATTCTAAATTACAATTAACGAGACAAAACTGAAGGATTGTTCAATCAATTATTATGTATAAAAAGGCAGGCAGGTATTGAATACTATACACTTTACATTTGGTTCTTTACGTGTTGAAACAACTGTCAGGAAATTTATAATGGCCAGCAAGGTATACGAATCTATGTTCATATAACAATAATTAATTTTTTAACATTTTCTAATTTTAGTTTGTAGCCCTCGCATTCCTAGTTGCATCAGTCAGAGCAGGAAACCTATTAACTCCTCTGGCACCTGCCATCCATTCTGCACCACTCGCGTATCATGCGCCAATAGCCAGGTTTGCCGCCCCTGTCTCATATGCGGCCCCTCTTGCAAAAGCTGTAGTAGCTGCTCCTGCACCTGTAGCCGAAGAATATGATCCCAATCCACAATATTCTTTCGGGTATGATGTTCAGGATGCGTTGACTGGCGACTCCAAAAGTCAGGTAGGGACTACTTAAATGTAATTTTTAAATAAGATATGGGGTGATTAATTCTTTTCGGAAAATCAGTGAGCATTTTGAAGTTTTTGGTCTTATCTAGGTACATGATAAGCCCTCTATTATCTCTAGACGTGCTCTGTTGCAATTTTTATCAAAAAGTAACAACAAATTTAATATTTTAAATAGAACATTTTGTAATGCATGTCATTATTTGAATCCTTATTTTTAAGTTATTGTATTTTCTCAATATTGCCTAGTACCTACTTTTTTGCAATTTTTGCATAGGCTGTAAAGGTATGGGCCCTTAATTAACCCCAAAATAAATTTGGGCTTCTAGACCCTCAGGAGCATAGGTACCTAGTAGGTTAAGGCGAGGGTAAACGGTAGAATCAACAGAAATAGGTCAAAATTATGTGTAGGAATGTGAAATATCAAATTGGCTGCTATTTTCTGATAGAAGCGCAAACACTGTATATCTGGAAATAATTTCAATAGACGATTTGTCGCGGTAGCTTTTATCTGATTTCTACCAATTCTCGTTATCATTATATTCTTTCATTTATTTACACTCTATTATTTCTAGGTTGAAAGTCGTAACGGAGACGTAGTACAAGGTTCATACTCCCTAGTAGACCCTGATGGCACCAAGAGAACCGTAGAGTACACTGCTGATCCAATCAATGGCTTTAACGCTGTCGTCCACAAAGAACCTTTAGTTGCTAAAGCTGTTGTAGCCAAAGTTGCTGCTCCAATCGCCTATGCTGCTGCTCCAGTAGCTAGACTAGCACCAGTTGCTTATGCTTCCCACGTTGCTCCAGTTCATTATGCGGCCCCTGTTGCAAAGTTAGCAGCCCCTGTCTCCTACTCATCCTCTGTACTGCATTAAATTGACTTTGTTCGCATGAATATTGTTATAATAACGTGTTAAATAAATTATTTTTTGTATGTATATAATATATATCTCCCTGATTTATGTATGTACCTAAGCTTTGTTTCACCAGGGTTCATACTTTTGACATAATTTGCCTTCCTTGAAAATTATGTCACAACCGCCGAAATCGCAGTCTTCTGTTCGTTCAGTCGTCAGTGAACCGTACCCTATACTTTGAGTAGTTGCAATTCGCTCTAGAAGATAATTGTCTTTTGTATTGGAAAATTCTTACACGTGTTAATACCACATCATTAATACTGTCCCTGATAATCCAGTGTGACGTCACAAACATCTAGTTTTAACTTTAAAGCGCCCTAACTCGAAAACGGACCATCGTAGCAAGATGCGTTTCAGATATTTATTCTTAGATTTTTTCGCAATAAAACATTAGTTTTTGGGTACCACCCCCTTTAAAGATTTTGGGATGCTGTTTTCGAATCCGGCATTTTCACAAAAGAAATTCAACGGGGTGATGTTTTAAGACCCTATAGTGGGTAGTTCTTGCTTTTTTGCGAAACGTAGCCCTTCCGGTGCGTTTTACACAAAAAAAAACTTCATGGTAAATTATGGAGGACTATATTCCCTACCATTTCCTCAGCGAAAAGGTAATTATTCTTGGATTTGTTCTGATCTCGCTTTTATATTTTTTCATTAGCTACTAATCTATCTTAGAACCATCCTATAATATACATTCCCTTCCTCTGTAAAGGGGAATTATTACCTATCTGATATGTTTGAAGACTCCGAGGATGACTTCTTCACTAGGGCAAAAGCAGGTTTTTCAGTCTCAGGCTACATAATTTCTGGATTAATTCCTTTTTTTTTTACTTTTATTGACTATTTTTATTGAGGAAAAAATTACCAAATTTTCAATAGAATTTAATTCATTATAATAATAGTTCTTCTACTACTTCGCATTATCTTTGAACTTCAGCCGACTTCCTTCCTAACCCAAACATTCCCGAACTTCACCAGAATTGCCTTGCACGTACCTACCTACTTTCTCCGATTTCCACAGACTAACTTAAAACTTTCGTTACCTACTTTCTTGGGTGAAGACAAACTTCCCAGGTGGTTTTCCTCTCGGCTTTTTATGGATTTCCTCGAGGATTTTGCTTCTTTCCTTTATTTTATTGTTCCCCTTGGTCCTTATCCTAAGTAAACGTTCATTATTAGGTTTGAATGTTGTATAGGATGTTCCATGAAATTGATGGAATTTACTCATTATACAGGGTTGTCGAGAATGCCCGATTTAATGGTGGTATTTGCAATGTTGCCAAGTTTACCGTTCCTGAGATGCTGTATGTAACTTCATTTTTTTAAATTAAATTAATTAAATTTTTTTTAATGAAAGTCCTCCTTTATTTTTATTGCAATTAATTCAGAGTTCCAACATTACTAAAACCCTTAAATGCCAAGCCTCCATTTGACTTGGTTTTTGAAATATATAACAACACAATTTTTTGTTGAAATGTATGGAAACCAATGACATCTTGTGGAAACGGTCTCGTAGTCTCGTATTTCAGAACAGGCTTTAGAAAAATGTAGAATATTTACTACCTGGACCTACCAGCCCCCCTATAAATCTCGAATACGCATTATCCTCAGCATTTATCACATTTTTCTGAAATACTAAATCGTTTCCATACATTTTAACTAAAAACTGTGTTGTCATATTGCGAAAACCAAGTCGAATGGAAGTTTGGACGCTGAACTAATTGCGATAAAAATAAAGGAGGACTTTCATTAAAAAAAATTAAGTAACATACGCCATCTTAGAAACGTTAAACTTGACAGCATTGTAAATACTACCAGTAAATCGGGCATTCCCAAAAACCCCCTGGTAGGAAATACTGTACATTTTTCTTAAGTGCGTTCTGAGATATTAGGCTGTTTCCATACATAACGTCAACCCTGTATATTAGAAAACATTTAATTCAGGTACCCTGTATGATTCTATAATCGTTTTCCGGAATAATGTTTCGGCTCGGCATCAAATGAATGTAATTTAATTATATTGTCTAGACCTTCTGTTGAAAGCCCAAGCAAAAAGGATGTGAATTCTATTTAGGTATTATGTTGTAAACCGTACTGACTTTTTGAGAACCAAAGATATTGCATTGTGAATAAATAAAATAAACATTGTTGAGGAAAACCACATATTTGAAATATTATTTCTTCAAACTTTTCAAAAAGAGTTTACTATAAAAAAAAGCAAATGGTAAATGTTGCAACCTTGTATGCGCTGTGAAATTGATGGGAACGACGGTGCGCCACACAAAAAAAGTACCGAAAGGGAGAGAAGAGGATGGGAGAGTAGAGAAAAAGCTTGTGCCTTAGACCGTTTGTCCGCCATTGTTCAATATTCAATTGTTATTTTGTATTAAACTTTTGTATAAACTTTCATTGACTCACATTTGATTATTAAAATGTCACAGTATGTTTTGAGTTTTGAGGAATGTTAGATCGAGGTTTCTCTGCCGTGCTCTTTCCCCTCGTAAGTTTCAGGTCGAGAACGGTACTATTTTCTAATGATAAATTAGAGGTTTCAGGAATTTTTCGTTTATTTTACATATCACAACTTCCCTTAAATTTCCCAGTAAGTAAAATTGAGTAAATTTCCACAACGTAGGTCCTATTTGTTTTTCATTTCGTTTTTCAGAAGATTTGTTAAAAGAAGAGATAATAAATATTTACACCGTTCAATCTTGATGCATGAACACAAATGTTATACTACATGGTTGAGCATAAACCCCCATACTTCCCAAGTATCATGAATGTCACACTTTGATGATGTATAATAATATATTTCGCCGATATTTATTTAGGGTTTTGCTAAGACTTGTAAGACTCTCTCTTCGCTCACTGAGTATTATTGAAAGAATTTGTACGGTATTGTTTTATTACGGTCGGTACTACTGTGATTATTAATTACATCGGTATTGTAATCACAACAATGTTCTGCAAGTGGAGTATCTATGAGTACACTGTGAAAATCTACATTTAGCACTATATAGATATTCTAGGCAATGGTGGATTTTTTTTACACACAGAATATTTTAAGATTTAGGTTAGCTTAACTTGCTCAACTGTAGATTTTTTTTGGTTTTTATCAGGATAATAGAAATGCGATAATCCTCTTAAGGTTTTGTGTCCCTCTATGATAAGAAATGCAAAATTTGTGGAGAATGCGAAAATTTCGAATATGTATCAGGATAACAGAAAATCAGGAGGTAGGGAAATATTCCAAGAGTTTACCTCTTCTCATTTGAGTCCCCGATGTTGGAAATTTCTATCAGGATGACAAATGCGAGAAGGTTTATTTTTCTAGAAGCGCAACTTTAGTTAAACTTGTGAAGAAGAAACATTTTTACTAGTGATCACTTGAGTTACCTTGGGCTAACCTACTCAACTATTGAATTGTAGAAAACCTTCGAATTTTTATCAGGGTAACAGAAATGCGAGTAGGTAAACTTTCCAAGTACTTAATTCCTCACGCTTTTGTGTCCTTGCCATGTACAAAATTCAAAATTTGGTAATTTTCCAAGATTATAATATGCTCCCGCACGTTTTTGAGTTTTGTGACGAAAATACGAAATTTTCAAATCTGAATCAGCATAGCAAATGCTAGAAGGTGAATTTTCCTAAAACCTCAACTGTAGTGAAACGATATTATTTGAGCTAACTTGGGATAACTTGGTCAACTGTGAATATTTTACAAACTTGTATCAAGATAACAGAACTGGAAGGCAAATTAGCTCAGAGTGTAGCTTCCCTCGTTTTTGTCTCTGATCAAAATGCGAAATTTGTGGAAAATTCAATCATGTATCAGGATAACAATTGCGTGGTGGTGAATTTTCCTAGAAGCTTAAGTGTAAGAAGAACTTGTGAAACCCCATTTTTCTAGGGCTCTCTTGAATTAACTTGCTCAACTTTCGAACTAGAGAAAATTTTGAATAAATGAATCAAGGTAACAAAATTGAAGAGTGCTGAGGAATCCATCTCTTCAAGTTTCCTCTTCAAGTTTCTGAATCCCTAATCAAAATGTAAAATATATTGGAAATGCGAAATTCCCAAATATTTATCAAGATAAAACAAAATGCGAGGAAGTTTATTCTGCTAGACTAGAGGTTCAGCTTTAGATAATCCTGTGAGAACACCTTCTACTTGGATTGCCCATTGAGTTGGCTTACTCATGTAAGCGGAAGCAGATTACAGAAGCCCTGGACGAAATAGGAATATCCGGGATATACAGCTTAATATACAGGGAACACTAGTGAATAGCTGCGATACCGTCAAAAATCTCGGAGTGACCTTGGACCGTGACTTACGCATGAAAGCACATATCAAATGTATCCGAGAAGCCTTCCGGAAGATGAAACTACTAAGCCGAACATAAGAGAACCAAGAGCTTGCAAAAGACGAACACTGGCTTGTGCTGAAACATAAATGCTACATTAAGATGCTAGCAAGTGTGAATAGAAAACTGGCAATCATGATTACGTCAGTATAAACAATGGTACCCTCAGAGGCCGTCGCTAGCCGGTTTGCCATCTTCAAAAATACAGGAGTGAGAAGGCGCCAACAAGAACGGACAACAAAACAAATCCGAAGCTAAGCAAAGACTGGTGCAAAAATGACAGGAAAGACGGACGAGATACACTGGATGGACGAAGACATTTAACAGAGATATCGAAATATAGAATGACTGAAAGTGGGGAGACGCAAATTGTTACATTGGATAATTTAGGTTAGTATTAGTTTAGTTCACTTATTGAGGTTTTACGGTAAACTTTCAAATAAAACCGTGGGAGCGTTTCACGTTACCTTTATAGAAAACTGTGTGCCATACTCAATTTCAACTCCCAGAAGAGTAGCACTTCCAATAATGGATAAAGTTAAAAGAGAGCTACAGAAAATGTTAGATCAAGAAATAATTGAGCAGGTGGATTTCAATAATCCTACTCCATTCTGTGAACTAATGGTTTGTGTC